AAATTGTTTTGGTATATAATGAAAATTTTGTTAGAATGTTTTCTTAAGTCTTTATTGAATGTGTTATAATATTATTTCTGTTTTCTGTTCTGGCTTTTTGGCCACGACGCACGTGGGATCCTGGCTCCTTGACCAGGGATCGAACCTGCACTCCCTGCATTGGAAGATGTCATCTTAACCAAAGGACAACCAGAGAGGCCCCTGGATTGTTTTACTTTTAGTGTGTTTTTATATCTATTAGACATTGTCCCTGGGCAACAAACTTTCAGTGGTAATAAATGTCTGACTTTTTCTATTATTTTGTGCCCAAGTTAGTGGTTTATCATTCCCTATAAAGTCATCATATCAAAGCTCCTTGTGTAATTGAAATCACAGAAGCTTTCAGATGCAGTAACTTCTTTTTTTCTCCTTAGAACTTTATGAAAGCAAATGCAACAGAGAGGTAGAGGTCTACCGGGAAGCGGAGAGCCCTTCTCACAAGTTCAGCAGAGATATATCCTTTTCAAAGGCGCACCTTTCCTCATCCTTCTAAGTGTTTCTGTGCCCGTGGCCATCACCCAATGGTGGTATGCCCAGCAGGTGTGGACAACATTGATTCTTTCAGAAGCATCTGCTAAAGCTGTTTCTTCTTGTGTGACTTTCAGAAACCTCAGAGTGTGATTGTTGGGCCTGATCATGTGCAGTACCTATAATGGTGGGAAGGCAGCTCATATTTTTTGAGAACTTTTCTAGAAAATCTTTGTGCTACAGTACTCGGGACTTGAAAACAACTTTTCATAAAGAGTATTCAGTACATTCCCTCCATGTATAGAGGACGAAGCAGGGATCCAGAGAGGTAAGGTGACAGGCGAACGGACAAGTGGTTAGCAGCCAGCTGGGGGCTGGAACTCAGGCCCACATTCCCAGCTCTCTGCTCTGACCCTCCCCACAAATACTGGCTCTGGACATTGTGTGCATGTTTTTCCGCCCACTTTCCTCGATGATGATATGAAGCAGTTGAATGGATGTGGGGAGTTTTAGTTAGGGTTCTATGAAGCTTCCTTAGGGCCAGGCTGGGAAGGTGTGATGGACATTTACTGGGTGGGCAGATGGGATGGAATATAGGCAGGGACAGGGGAGATTTCAACTCCACTGTCCTCTTCAATCACACCAGCTGAGTGTTTTACGCACTGAATTTCCATAAAGCTTCCTTTAAACAAACAGTCTCTGTGATTTAAACAAGAGTCTGGAACTACTGTACTGGATAATCGCTGGACTATTTTCTGACTCTACTGTTCTGTAAGGCTGTTTGTATCTAAAGAATTGTTCTTTAAAAATACATGGGGTGTGGGGGTGTGTTTGTGGGAATTGTTTGCATGTATTCTCTGTGTATACCCATCTGAATGCTGAGTTCCAAAGAACTGCAAGGAGAGATAAGAAAGCTTTCCTCAGTGATCAATGCAAACAAACAGAGGAAAACAATAGAAAGGGAAGGACTAGAGATCTTTTCAAGAAAATTAGAGATACCAAGGGAACATTTCATGCAAAGATGGACACAATAAATGAAAGAAAAGAAATGGTATGGACATAAAAGAAGCAGAAGATATTAAGAAGAGGTGGCAGGAATACACAGAAGAACTATACAAAAAAGATCTCCATGACCCAGATAACCATGATGGTGTGATCACTCACCTAGAGCCAGACATCCTGGGATGTGATGTCAAGTGAGCCTTAGTAAGCATCACTACAAACAAAGCTAGTGGAGGTGATGGAATTCCAGTTGAGCTATTTCAAATCCTAAAAGATAATGCTGTTAAAGTGCTGCACTCAATATGCCAGCAAATTTGGAAAACTCAGCAGTGGCCACAGGACTGGAAAAGGTCAGTTTTCCTTCCAATCCCAAAGAAAGGCAATGCCAAAGAATGCTCAAACTACCTCACAAATGCACTCATCTCTCACACTAGCAAAGTAATGCTCAAAATTCTCCAAGCTAAGCTTCAACTGAACATGAACCAATAAATTCCAGATGTTCAAACTGGATTTAGAAAAGACAGAGGAACCAGAGATCAAATTGCCAACATCTACTGGATCATAGAAAAAGCAAGAGAGTTCCAGAAAAATATCTACTTCTGCTTTATTGACTATGCCAGAGCCTTTGACTGTGTGGATCACAACAAACTGTGCAAAATTCTTCAAGAGATGGGAATACCAGACCACTTTACCTGCCTCATGAGAAATCTGTTTGCAGGTCAGGAAGCAACAGTTAGAACCAGATGTGGAAAAAAACAGACTGGTTCCCAAATTGGGAAAGGAGAACATCAAGCCTGTATACTGTCACCCTGCTTATTTAACTTCTATGCAGAGTACATCATGCAAAATGCCAGGCTGGATGAAGTGCAAGCTGGAATCAAGATTGCCAGGAGAAATACCAATAACCTCAGATATGCAGATGACACCACTCTTATGGCAGAAAGTGAAGAGGAACTAAAGAGTCTCTTGATGAAAGTGAGAGAAAAGAGTGAAAAAGCTGGCTTAAAACTCAACATTCAAAAAACTAAGATCATGGTATCTGGTCCCATCACTTCATAGCAAATAGATGGGGAAACATTGGAAACAATGACAGACTTTATTTTCTTGGGCTCCAAAATCACTGGAGATAGTGACTGCAGCCATGAAATTAAAAGATGCTTGTTTCTTGGAAAAAAAAGGTATGACCATCCAGAATATTAAAAAGCAGAGACATTACTTTGCCTACAAAGATCGTATAGACAAAGCTATGCTTTTTCCAGTAGACATGTATGGATGTGAGAGTTGGACCATAGAGAAACCTGAACACTGAAGAATTGATGCTTTTTAACTGTTGTGTTGGGAAAGATTCTAGAGCATCCCTTGGACAGCAAGGAGATCAAGTCAGTCATTCCTAAAGGAAATCAGTCCTGAATAGTCATTGGAAGGACTGATGCTGAAGCTGATACTCCAATACTTTGGCCATCTGATGCAAAGAACTGAATCACTGGAAAAGACCCTGACGCTGGAAAGGACTGAAGGCAGGAGGAGAAGGGGACGACAGAGGATGAGATGGTTGGATGGCATTACTGACTCAATGGACATGGGTTTCAGCAAGCTCTGGGGGTTGGTGATGAACAGGGAAGCCTGGCGAGCTTCTGTCCATGGGGTCACAAAGAGTCAGACATGACTGAGTGACTGAACTGATTTTGTGTGTATGTATCAATCCTGGTCCAGCTAGATTACAGACCCCATAAGGGACTATTTCTGGCACAATTTGCACAGATTGCTAACTAGTTTGTATATAGGTGGTTGGTAATTCAAGAAATCGTCGTTATTTAATATCTTAGATTTTATGTGGTTTTCTGTCATCCTGCCAACCTCTGTGCAGGATAGGAGCCATCATTCCCCTCAGACAGGGAAGGAATCTGAGGCAGAGGGACGTTCAGAACTCTGCTCAGGTTCTCATCAGGGTCTCACCGCTAGTTGGTGGCAGAGGCAGTTGTGGACCTGGGTCCAGCTGTGTCCAGAGAAGGTAATCTGGACCTGGGCAACCCCACCTCTCTGACCTCACAGGGACCCTGCGTGGGGGGTGTTCTCAAGGAGTTTTCAACAAAATTCCTTGAAGTTTTGTTTCATTGGCTTCCCAATGCCACAGAATCCCATAATGAGTTTCTCAGTCTTTGTATATATGTGTAGGCTACATACATACACATAATGGACTATCCGCAGACTATCTAGGGGAGAAGACCAGTGTGGGTGCTGTAGGGATTTCGAGCTGGCCAGGCTGTGGTTTTGGCAATTGTAATGTAATTTGTGTTACACTTAAAGTGAAGTTTTTGGATTATTTTAGGCATTGATTCTTTCTCCTTTGAAACCTAAAATTCTGCCGTGGGACAGTCTAAGGAATACATTAGAGAGCTGAGCCCTCTGCAGCTATGAAGGAAAGTCTCACCAGACTGTGGAGCCTCATCTGGTTCAGATTCCGGTTCCATCACTTCAGCTGGGCTACGGGATCTTCTGCAACCTTCTTTACTTTTCTGAGCCTCAGTTTTGTCATCTATAAAATGAGAATACTTATGGCGAATTCACAGGGAATTTTTCAGCATCAAATTTGATGCTGCATGTGAAGCACATCATATGTGTCCACAGTAAGGGCTCAATAAGATGTGATTTCTGCTGTTTCTTAAAATCAAATTGTCTTCTCAATAATAGTACCATAGACATAGTTGTTGTTCTGTGAGTGTTTATGGAGATGAACGTGAAAGTGTTAGTTACTCACTGATGCCTGACTCTTTGCAACCCCATGGACTGTAGCCTGCCAGGCTCCTCTGTCCAGGAAATTCTCCAGGCAAGCATACTAGAGTGGGTGGCCATTTCCTTCTCCAGGGATCTTCCTGGCCAGGGATTGAACCTAGGTCTTCTGCATTGCAGGCAGATTCTGTACCGTCTGAGCCACAAGGGAAGACCTTGTGACATGAGATGGCTTTATTATTCTCTGTGAACCGGAACCAGGGAGGATATCAGTCTACTAAATATCTGGGTATTCATGTGTCTTCCTGTGATCACCAGGTGTAAGCAACCTTGTCTGAGCATCCTCTGTGCATAGGTGTCAGTGATTAGGGCTTTGGGGAGAACAAAGAGTGATAGCCTCATTGTTTATTGAGTGTGATTCTGCTCCAGTCTCTCTCCAGAGCCTCCACCAAGTTGAGCAATTTACCTAGGACCACACAGCTAATAAGTGAACAATCCTTTGAGACCTCGTTGCCTTCTTGGAGAAAGGAGTGGGTTTCCCAGATAATTAAGTCAACAAGGAACCATTCACTGATGGGTAATCCATGTTTTCAAATGAGAACAGAAGGTGGGAGGAGCCATGGTTTTGCAGGGCAGGTAGGCAGAAGGACAGGAATGACGTAACAGCATAAGGGAGCAGACACCAAAGGGAGGAGCAGAATTGCGTCCCTTTGCTTCCGGCTTGCTGGCTTTCCTTCTGCTCGTCTGCCATGCTGGCCTTGATGCTGCGCTTTCACTGGTGGTGTCGTGCATCTGTGTGGCAGCGGGGACAGCTGGACTTTGAAGGGCGGAAGGTGCATGTGTTCCTGGCCCGGAGCATCTCTGAGCCGCAGTTTCCAGACAAGTCAGGTGTGACCTAGGTGAGGCCGTTCTAGCAGAGGCTGGTGATCCAGAGTGATGGCAAAAGGGGGAGCAAAGGTAAAAAGACGGCACGTGTTGGGGTGCCCGCCAGGGCCTCCCATGTGAAGGCCACATTGACTGCCGGCATGTGGAGTGCAAGATGCAGATTCCTCGAGGCCAGAGACTGGACTTGGGTGTAAAGAAACAAGGGCGACTCAATGTATCCCCAGAAGCTTGGGTACAGTGTAAGTGGATGCTTAAATCTGGTCAGTTCATTCTTCACTCTTGCATTGTCCAGGTGAAATCAGAACATCCAAGTGAATCAGAAGGCTTAGAAACTCACTTCAGGCTCGTTTTATACTGCACACACCAGCCTCCTGCACATGGGCAGGAGGGTTAGTGGGACCATCTCTGAGGAGACACCTCTACTCAGCAAAACTCACGGACTGAGGGCCTGCTTTCCTTGAGTTCCAGCCTCAGGAGAGAGTCTGAAAGGGGTCCATGCGGCCACCTGCCGAACTGAACGGATGTGGCTGTGGGGCGACAGCAAAATCTGAACAATAGTTTTGACGTGTTAATCTGCCACCTTGGACATGTCACCTCACTCTTCTGAGTCTCCAACTTATCGTATATCAACTGAGATCTATTTTATCAACTTCTTAGAACTGAGATAATTAATGAGAGAAATAATTAAATGAGTGATATATCGAAGTGTCCAGTACTTCCCAGTCAGTCACTTCAGTTACTCAGTCATGTCCAACTCTTTGCAACCCCATGGATGAAGCACACCAGGCCTCCCTGTCCATCACCAACTCCCAGAGTTTACTCAAAGTCATGTCCATTGAGTCAGTGGTGCCATCCAACCATCTCATCCTCTGTCGTCCCCTTCTCCCCCTGCCCTCAATCTTTCCCAGCATCAGGGTCTTTTCAAATGAGTCAGCTCTTCGCATCAGGTGGCCAAAGTATTGGAGTTTCAGCTTCAACATCGGTACTTCCAATGAATATTCAGGACTGATTTCCTTTGGGATGGACTGGTTGGATCTCCTTGCAGTCCAAGGGACTCTCAAGAGTCTTCTCTCACACCACAGTTCAAAATCATCAGTTCTTCAGCACTCTAGCTCTGCATTTTAACAGAAACTGAGGTGTTATGGCAAGGCTGGTGGTTAGCAGGAGCCAACCTGCTTTGTACACAGCATTGAGATAAATTTTCTTTTAGGCAGGAAATGAATTTCCCTGCTAGAATGTTTGGAGATGTTGAAAGAATAAAGTTCATGGTCAAGGAAATATGAATTAGTGTTGTGGTTGATTCTATACTTTTTCTCAGTAATTCTGTCTGTTATCTGCCTCTCTCACCACCAGAATACTTCCTTTTTTCTACTTTTCTCTTGAACTTCAGAAGGGAAGCTATTCTGTGGCAAAATACACAGCCTTAAATTAATCTCAGGGAAAATTTTTAAATACTGTATGTGACAGTACAAACCTTGATTAATGGGCATAAAAATTCAGGACAGAAAGAAAGAAAGAGGATTTATTAATGAGATATCTCAGACCAAGTGTTTTCTCTCAGGAAAGGGGAGTTTATTGAATACCAAATAAGTACAGAGTGACTTATACTTGTCCTGTCTGCACTCTCCTCCCTACCTCGAGCCTTCTGTGAGAATGAATCAAGTTAAGTCTCTTTGGTTTGCAAGTCCAAATGTGATCCAAGCATATTTTAAAAAATATAACAGATAAAATGCTGTTTTATATTTAAAAGATCATAACTGAGTTTTACTTCAGTAATAAGTATATATTTTTATTTGTTTGTTTGTTTATCTCGTTTTAGGATCTGTCCAAATGAGTTCTAGCAATCAATATGGGCTTGTTCTACAATCTCCACATTCAAATCATTGCTGACTGCTCTTGTTCTAAACCAAGTAATTCCAGGAGGAAGACTTTCCTCCAGCGGTCCCCTCAGTGGCCTCCTAGATGTCTGTGTCCCCCACGGCTGCTTTGCCCCCTGCAGGACCTGAGGGGCCACGTTTGGGGACAGGCAGAGCTGGGGTGCAGCCTTAGACGGCAGAGTCTTGAGGTCTTATCATGGACTGGAACATGAGATGGAATCTCAGGCTCACTTGCATGCAAGGCCAGGGATATAGTGGTCCTAGGTAGGGATTTGGTACAGGGGCTCAAACCTGACATTAGGAATGAGCTCTGTTCTCTAAGGTTTGTTTGATGTTGGGCCATGTTTGGTGGCAGGATGGCTTCTAAGAGCCAAAGGCAGGCCTACATCTTCCCAGGTTCATGCCTAGTCAAAAAAAGACAGCATGTCTTTGCAATTGATCCCATACTATCCCATGAGTCCCACCAAACAGATGTCAGTCCCTGCCAGTCGCTGTGGTCATATGGAGAGAATGATGCAAAAAGGTGGATACTTCATAGATGTATAATTAAAATATCACCATTTGTATTATAGCTAGGATTTTAGGTAAATTGAATCTGAATGTCTCATATAATAGAGGTCAAGTGGACATTTTATGTATAGAGTCATTCAAACCCAAGCACTAGGATTATAGTCTTTGAGCAGAGAATCAATATGCAATGGTGCCATAGAAACTATATCTTTAAACAGTGTTTGATGGTCTGCTAAGAGCTTTGAGAATACTGAGAATGCTGAGTTTTTAGATAAGGAATTTGAACAAAGTCTCTAAGCCTGCTATAATTAGCAGAGTGAAGACCGATTGACATTTGTGCTTGCTAATACAAAGAAGGTAGAGCCATTCAGCATTGATATATGAGATTACATGGGAAACTGAGAACCTCTGAACCAATAGTAAAGCTGGCATTAGGCACTCAATGGTACTTAATGAGTGACTTTAATGATCTGGAGAAGATTGACCACATGACCCACACACAGAGACAAAACTATCCAGATAGAGAGGTTTCATTCGATTATGGTAAATACTACTTTAAGGTTTAACAAGGCAGGAGGAGAAGGGGACCACAGAGGATGAGATGGTTGGATGGCATCACTGATTCCATGGACATGAGTTTGAGCACCCTCCAGGACGGTGATGGACAGGGAAGCCTGGTGTGCTGTAGTCCATGGGTCACAAAGAGTTGGACATGACTGAGGGAATGAACTGAACTGAACTGAATTTAATTCAAGCCAAATTTTTCCCCATGTTATCATTTTAGGGGTTACAGATTCCTCAGTTTCTGATTCCTCAGTCACCAGATCTTTTTATTTTGTTAAGGGGTGGCTTTGCTGCTGTGCTTACTGGTTATACTTTAATATTATGGAAATGGCTCAGTCTGGGCTGAATTCAGCTGAGATTAGTCAGGATTTCAGAATTTTGATGACGAAAGTAGCACTTCTGTCAGTGCTAATTTCTTTTCCCACAGGCGAATCATTCATACTGTGTAACAGTTTAAAGTTCATGAACACCTTGGAAATGAGGAATTCCAGCAGAGAGTCACTTCCTGAAAATGTTCTATTTCACAGTGAGAGTCCTGGCTTGGCTCCCTGGCTGAGATTTCTCACCCGGAATCCTCACCTCTAGGGCCTGCCCTTCAAAACCCCTGCTTCTGTACTGGGCTGAAAGAGAAAACGCAGGAAGAGCCCATTCACAGATTTCCAGTAGCATCACCCAGTCGGCTCAGGGAATTGTCTTTAGATGCTTTGAGATGTGTGTTCACTTCACAGATATTTCTCAATGGTCTGGCATCCATCTGGCAAGGGGACAGGCATGGTAGTTCCTGGGATGGGGGAGACACGTGGGGTCCACCCTCAAGGAGCTGTGATCCAGTGAAGAAGACACAACAGGCAAGCTATTAAAAGGTGATGAGTTGTGAGAGGGGGCAAGTAAAGGGGGCTAACCAAGTTTGGGGGATTGGGCCGAACATGTTGGAGTTGGCTGAATGAGGATTGAAGAAGAAAGCTATCCCACATGGAAGGAATCATTTCCATAAAATCCCTCAAGCAGGAGAGGCAGTCATGTTGCAGGAAGAACCGAAGGCCAGTAGGTCTGAGCAATGAGAGTGGAGGAAGGCATCTCACATGTGGCTGAAGAAGCAGGTGGTGAGGCTGCGGGAGATCCTGAGAGATACTGCAAAGACTTTTACTTTATACCCAGAATGCCAGTAAGTTTTGAAGGATTTGGGGCTGAGCAGTGAGCTGATGAGACATGCTCATTCCTAACAGCTGCTGATTCCCTCACGGTTCACCATCTCTAGCGTTCCTCCAGCATGGCGTGGGGGTGCTCTCCGAGATGCTCTAAGCCTGTTCTAGGAATCCTTCCTCCCCACTGTGAGGCAGCATATTGAGAAGCCCCCACTCAAATCTAGTTTCCAAAGTAGAGCATCAGACTCTGAAGTTTAACCAGAGAAAAGAGATCAGAGAATCTCCATGTGCATGACCCCTGATGCTCCTAGCCTGTGCTGTCATCAGTACACCTTCCAGTGTGATTGCATCATGCATCCAGTAAGGGCAGAGCCACTGCAAGAGCCAGAAGTGGTAGAGAAAAAGGAAAGTCATGGAAAATGTAAGCAGGTCTGCTTTTCCCAAAGTTTAATTTTCTAAACTCCTCCCCAACTACAAGGAAGAAATGTGTGTGTGTGTGTGTGTGTGTACGCACATACACACTCAATCATGTCTGACTCTTTGCAACCTCATGGACTGTAGCCCACCAGACTCTTCTGCCTATGAAATTTTCTAGGTGAGAATACGGGAGTGGGTTGCCATTTCCTATTCCACAGGATCTTCCCTATGCAGGGATCAAACCCATGTCTCTTGCATCTCCCACATTGGCAGGTAGATTCTTTACCAGTAGCACCACCTGGGAAGCCTATATAAATATACATATATATGTATATATATATGCTTAAGAACACAAAAGCACATTATTTACTGAGGTCCTAAGAGCTTAGAACCAACAAAATAGAAGGGCTTCAGAAAAATTATTTATATTGCTAATGTATTTATGTGTATTTTTATGTATGTCTGCTTGGATACATATGATATGTGCTCCATTTCATCAGATATAATAATGGAACAACGACAAGGCAGCATGTTATGTGAGTGAGTTTGCAGGTTCTCTACCTGATGTGCCAGGCCCTGTGCTAGGCAGTGGAGGTCATAAAGGTGAACAAATTCTGCCTGCTAAGTCACTTCAGTCATGTCTGACTCTTTCCGACCCTGTGGACTGTAGCCTACCAGGCTTCTCTGTCCATGGGATTCTCCAGGCGAGAATCCTGCAGGGGATTGCCATTTCCTTCTCCAGGGGATCTTCCTAACCAAGGGATCCAACCTGCGTCTCTTATGTCTCCTGCAGTGGCAGATACGCTCTTTATCACTAACGCCACCTGGGAATTACAGAGGACATGGAATATGTACACAGTTTATGATAATGAGAGAATATCAGTTATGTAAGGGAAATATGTAATATTTTAAGAGTCTATGGCTAACCACTCTTAAAAACAAGACAGCAAGCCCCAAATGGAGTCACTTATGCTAAACTCCATTTACCAAACCAAGACTTACATACAGTTTTGGCTCTCCCAGAAATGTAACCTCAAACTAGTCAATCAGGAATTGCCTTAATCTTCCTAATAGATTAAAGAAAGGAACCTTACGATAACCAACCTGAGTCTTCCCAGGTGGCGCTAGTGATAAAGAATCTGTCTACCAATGCAGGAAATATAAGAGATGCAGGTTTGATCCCCTGGGTAGGGAAGATCCCCTGGAGGAGAGTGTGGCAACCCACTCCAGTATTCATGCCTGGAGAATCCCCATGGACAGAGGAGCCTGGCTGGCTATGGTCCATAACGTCGCAAAGAGTTATCCGCAACTGTAGAAACTTAACATACACATGATAACCAACCTGCTTTCTTCTTACTGTAACTTCCTATTCTTCCTCCCTTCTGCCTAAGAAAGTCTCTCTCATTTTGTACACCCCTGAGAGTTCCTTGGACTGCAAGGAGATCCAACCAGTCCATCCTAAAGGAGATCCTGGCTGTTCATTGGAAGGACTGATGCTGAAGCTGAAATGCCGGTACTTTGGTCACCTCATGCAAAGAGCTGACTCATTGGAAAAGACCCTGATGCTGGGAGGGATTGGGGGCAGGAGGAGAAGGGGACGACAGAGGATGAGATGGCTGGATGGCATCACTGACTCGATGGACATGAGTTTGAGTAAACTCCGGGAGTTGGTGATGGACAGGGAGGCCTGGCCTGCTGCGATTCATGGGGTCGAAAAGAGTCGGACACGACTGAGCGACTGAACTGAACTGAAGTTCCTTTTGGTCTGGTTGGTTGTATGCTGATTCAAGTTTATTTTTAATATGTCTCAGTTTATGTTTTAACAGTTCTAGTGTCAGAAGAGGGAACCAAAGGAGGCCCTCAAAACCACCCTGGGAGCAAAAGCAACCATGCTTGGGAACCTGTTGCGCCCTTGCGCATGCTGCTTTCTTGTTCCCCCTGGAGGTGGTGAGTTACCTATACGCCTTGAGGAAGCACTAGGAGCCTGCCCTATGTACACTGTAGTTTCTTGATTGCTCCTTCTTTGTTTCTGCATTTCCTTCCTTCTCTTTTTAACAACAGACTGAATCTACCCTTCCGAACTCAGAGAAGGTCAACTAATCAATATGTAATCAATCAAGAAACTTGATTAGGAGAGCGAGCCGGACAGCAGCGAGCAGCTGAGCGATCCGAGCCCCCCACCCACCACGACCCCATGCCCCCGCGCCCCGCAGCCGTCCCGCACAGGCCGGGGTCGCGCCGCCCTCCCTGTCCCATGGCGCTGAAGCGGATTCAGAAGGAGTTAAGCGATCTACAGCGCGACCCACCTGCTCACTGTTCGGCTGGCGCCGTGGGAGACGACTTGTTCCACCGGCAAGCAACTATTATGGGGCCTCCTGATAGCGCGTACCAAGCTGGAGTCTTCTTTCTCACTGTATATTTTCCGACAGACTGTCCTTTTGAACCACCAAAGGCTGCTTTCACAACAAAAACTTACCGTCCAAACATAAACAGTAGTGGCAGTATTTGTCTTGATATCCTGAGGTCACAGCGGTCACCAGCTCTTACTGTATCAAAAGTTTTATTGTACATATGTTCTCTGTTTGTGACCCTAATCCAGGTGACCGCTTAATACCAGATATTGCACAAATCTATAAATCAGACAAAGAAAAATATAACAGACACACAAGAGAATGGACTCAGAAATATGTAATGTAAAATCAAAAAAATTTTCATGTATACCAGAGTACTGTAAAATCTAGGTTTTTTCAACATTAGCAGGAAATTGAGCAATGTTTACTGTTTCATTGTACCGTGAAATCTTTTGATTTTTACCATTTTAAATATATTTCTGAAGCAAGACAAAACAAACTTCCAAAAATATTCTTGAGACTGTCATGAGAGCATTTATCATTTTGTATGCATTGAGAAAGACACTTATTATGGTTTTTAAGATACTTGGACATCTGCATCTTCAGCTTACAAGATCTACAATGCATCTGAAAAGCAACCAAATTATGTTTTTGCTGAAACTAGATGTTTTTACATGGAAAATACTGTATGTGTTATCTAAGACGTTGTCAGTTTTATAAATATGTACTCAGATTTCATTCTTTTTTAGCTCATTTTATAATTTATATTTTTTACTGTATAAACTAAATATATTCTATTTACATGTATGTCAACTTGTTACTTTTTTTCTGTGAACAGTATTGAAAAAACCCAACAACTTGATAATGAAATGAATTAACTGTCTGTCTCCCTTGTCTTGGGGTATTCTGTAGATCGATTGCAGATTTCTTAAACCTGAAATGATCTTTACACTGTAATTCTCAGGATACTGATTATGGAGAAGCACTTGTTTTGGTTTTGTTATACTTGGCTTAACTTTATTACAATGTGAATTAATTGCACTGCTAGGTAGAAAGATGTGTAACTTTTATTTGCTGCTATTCACATCTGAATTTTTTCTGTATAGACAATATTATATGGATACCTTTTACAGATCTTAATGTGGCTTTTTCCATTTAAATAAAAAGATTTTTCTACTAAGAAAAAAAAAGAAAAAGAAAGTTGATTACAGTAACCAGAATACCAAAGTTTTAGTATTTCATATTAATAACATTTGCCTATATAATATAACCTGAAAAAGTTTATCACTCCTTTGACAATGCTTCTCATGTAATTTAACATACCAAATAACAAATGCCTCTTTTTCCCCTCATTCTCTGGGATCATAAATGATTAGATTAAGGTTCCAAGTAGCTCATTTATATCTCCAAATCACAAGAAGAGAAATGTGTATTCATTCTAGAAAACTAGCTTCCTATATCTGCACATGCAAAAGCATGTTTTAGAATATCCAAAGAGTTCCACCTTTGCAATTCTCCAGGACTTTTTAAAATTACTAAATATTCAATTTAGTCATAATAAACAGCAGTAATAGACAAGAAAACATATCATTCACTCACATTCACATGCCTCATTTTCAGAGGAACAAGAATCAGTATTTGCATTACAAGGTCCCCATAACTAAAGTCAAAACAAGGAAGAGAGAATAGGAGGTTCACGCACACACTCATGATAAAAGCCAAACCAAGTCCAAAGGGCTCACTTTGATACAATAGCAGAGCCATTGGAAACTCTTGTTCTCCAGATTCAAGAGTACTGAGGTCAAACAGTATTACAGTAAAAAGTATCATTCTTTTATTCATGAGAACATAACTAAAGATTTCCCTGTTTTGCAAAAATACACCCTACGGGACCACATGATGGAAAATAGATCAAATCACCCATACACAAATATCAAGAGAACAAACTATATAATGAAAACTGATCTCCCAAGGTCATAGGTCTCTTGGCTCAGACAGGGAAAAGTCTCAACTGATGTTCTGCTATGGCCAAAGCCAATGCAATAGAGAGTCTCATGTTGTCTTCAGAGATCAGAGACCAGCGATGTGTGACAGCCAGTAGTCCTGAAACACAGACACAAACAACAAATGTGTCCCATAAACAAAGTGTCAGAGATGCAGCCCCCAAGTTCCACTTCAAAATAAACTAGCCCAGCTCTCATACGAGAATGGGCTCAGACTGGCTAGCAAGGAGCCCAGAGTAGCTTACTCTTTGATAAGGAAGACGGAATGGGTAGAATTTTCTCATGCCAAATAATTCTAATTAGCTTTTTTTTTTTTTTAATCTCTCTGAGATGCCTCAGGATTCCTCTGAAGCATCTCAAACTTTGCTGGAAGTCAAAGAACTTCAGCTAGAATTCAGTGTTTGGGGAGTTTGTCAAAAACATCAAAAAGATTCCAAAATACTTAGTCAAACAGGATCACAAGTTACTGTGAAACAATACTTATTCACTTAACCAAGTGACAAAAGAATTAGAAAACAAATACAGATTACTTAAAGCAAGGAAAATCATATGATCTGTAATCAACAGCAGCATCCCAAGAAAATGTTGCTCTCTTTACTGAGAGAAACCAAATCCACTCCTGCCCCAGTCTATTTCTAAGAAAATTCATTTATCCAATTAAAGTTAATACAATCTTATGAAATCCTGTTCACACACAAAACTCTTTTCTCAGCATCCTTTTTTTTTGCAAACCCTTTATCTGCACTATTTTTATATTTATTGGAATACAGTTGATTAATCATGTTTTGTTAGTTTCTGCCGCACAGCAAAGTGAATCAGTTGTACACATGCATATATTGACTCCTTTTTAGATTGCTTTCCCGTTTACGTCACAAAAGAGCATTGAGTAGAATTCCCTGAGCTATACAGTAGGTTCTCAGATGTTATCTATTATTATATATAGTAATGTGTATATGAAAATTCCACTCTTCATTCTACTTCCTGTTCCCCCTTGGAAATTATATATGTTTGTTTTCTACATCTGTGACTATTTCTGCCTTACAGTTAGGTTCATCTGTACAGTGCTTCTATATTACACATATAAACAATATTATGCAAAGTTTGTCTTTCTCTTTCTGACTTACTTCACCTTATATGATAATCTCCAAGTCCATCCATATCACTGCAAATGACATTATTTCATTCCTTTTTGTGGCTGAGTAATATTCCATTGTATATATGTATCATTTCTTCTTTATTCATTCTTCTGTTGATGGACATTTAGGTTGCTTCCATGTGCTGGAAATTGTAAACAGTGTTGCAATGAATATTAGGGTGCATGTATCCTTTTAGACTATGTTTTTTTCTGGGTAGATGCCTAGGAAAGGAATTTCTGGGTCATAGGGTAGCTCTGTTTTTAGTGTTTTAAGGAACCTCCAAGCTGTTCTCCATAGTGGCTATACTAATTTACATTCCCACAGTGTAGGAGGGTTCTCTTTTCTCCACACTATCTTAACATTTTATTGTTTGTAGATTTTTTAATGATGGCCATTCTAACTGGTGTAAAGTCATGTAAACCCAAGGCTGATTCATGTCAATGTATGGCAAAAACCACTACAATATTGTACAGGAATTAGCCTTCAACTAAAATAAATAAATTAAAAAAATAATAACCGGTGTGAAGTGATACCTTATTGTAGTTTTGATTTGCGTTTCTCTAATAATTAGTGATATTAAGCATTTTTTCATGTTTTTTTTGGCCATCTATATGTCTTCTCTGGAGAATTGTCTATTTAGATCTCTCACCAATTTTTTTGATTGGTTTGCTTGGTTTTTTGATAGTGAGCTGTATGAGTTATTTGTATATTTTGGAGATTAATCCCTTGTTGATTGCTTAATTTGCAAATACTTTCTCCCACTGTAAGGTTTCTCTTTTCATTTTTTTTTTTATGATTTCCTTTGCTGTGCAAAATCTCTGAAGTTTAATTAGGTCTCATTTGTTTATTTTTGTTTTTATTTCCATTGCTCCAAGCAGTAATTTGAAGATCTTGATGTGATTTATGTCAAAGAAGGTTCTGCCCATGTTTTCCTGTAAAAGTTTTATAGCATCTGACCTTACATTTAGGTCTTTAACCTATTTTGGTTTTATTTTTGTGTATGGTGTTAGGGAGTGTTCCATTTTTATCCTTTTACATGTAACTGCCCAGCACCACTTATTAAAGAGACTTCTTTTCTCCATTATATTCTTGCCTTTTTTGTCATAGATTGGATGGACATAAATGTATGGTTTATCACTGGAACTTCTATCATCTTACCTTGATCTATGCTTCTGCTTTTGTCCCAGTACCATACTGGTTTGGTGAATTTGTAGCTATAGTTTGAAGCCAGGGAACCTGATTCTCCCAGCTCTGTTCTTCCCTCTCAAGATTACATTGGCTATTCAAGGTCTTTGTGTTTCCATACAAACTGTAGAACTTTTTGTTTAGTTCTGTGAAGAATGCCATTGGTAATTTGATATAGATTACACTGAATCTGTAGATTACTTTGGGTAGTGTAGTGTAGTCATTTTCACATTATTAATTCTTCCAATCTAAGAACATGTTATATCTCTCCATCTGTCTGTGTCATCTTTTGATTTCTTTCATCACAATCTTATAGTTTTCTGAGTACAAGTCTTTTGTCTCTTTAGGTTTATTACTATGTATTAGTTTATTTTGCTGTGATGGTAAATGGGATTATTTTCTTAATCTCTCTGATTTTTCTTTGTTAGTGTACAGGACTTCAAGACATTTCTGTGGATTTAGTTTGTATCCTACAACTTTACCAACTTCATTGATTGTCTCTAGTAGTTTTCTGGTGGCACCTTTAGAATTTTTTATGTATAGTGTCATGTCATCTGCCAACAGTGACAGTTTTACTTCTTATTTTCCAGTTTGAATTTGTTTTATTTATTTATTTTTTTTCTGATTTCTGTGGCTAGATCTTCCAAGAATATGTTCAATAATGGTGGTGAGAATATGCAACCTTGTCTTGTTTCTGATCTTAGAGGAAATGCTTTCAGTTTTTCACCATTGAGGATAATGTTTGCTGTGAGTTTATCATACATGGCCTTTATTTTGTTGACGTAGGTTCCCTGTAAGCTCACTTTCTGGAGAGCTTTTCTTTCTTCTTTTTTTTAATCATAAATGTGTGTTGAACTTTGTCAAAAGATTTTTCAGCATCTATTGAGATAATAATATGATTTTTGTTCCTCAATTTGTTAATGTGGTATATCTCAT